ATGACTTTTATATGTATCATTTCGCTTTTGATATTGAAATTTATTTTGCTAATAAGGTAGATATAAACTTTTACATTTTGGTGTTTTAACACTAAAATTAGTAAACTGTTGGGGTTTTTTAAGTTTATCTTATCATTACAGACAGTTTATTGTAATCATAAACAAAGTGAAAAAGAAAACAGGGAAATTTCTGAAGTTGCTTAATATTTTATTTTGTTTAAAGCTCATTGAGACAAGGGTTTAAAACAGAGCATGTGACGGGCCTCTGCAGCTCTTTAGTAGTACTGTCTTCTGAGGGAGGACACCACCACTGCCAGGAACTTCTGGAAAGCTGCATGGACCTCAGGAGTGAAGTTTTTACGCAATTGAGAAGCAACCACAATGGTCAAGCAGTCGCCCAGGAGCTGTAACACAACAAAACATGCTTTAGCAATCTTCAACTCGCACACACATAACAATGAAAATCAGTACCATTAATTCAATACATACCATGAAATTGTCAGGGTCCACCTGCAGTTTCTCAGAGTGCAGCGCGCTCAGCTCTGCATATGTGGCCTTGATGTTGTCCATGTCCTTCACGGCTTTTTCCAGAGCTTCCATGATGACTTTTCCATGAGACGCAACCCTTGGATTTGATGTGATGGCAGCAGCATTGTAGAGGTTTCCAAATCCACCGAAATACCTCTTAGTCCAGGGGTAGACAATCAGACACCTGAGGGAATATATAAATAACTGATTTGCTCTTAGTTCTAAAAGAAAAATTTACATTGTGTAATGCAAAAAATATGGCAGCTTTTTTCATTGCACATAAAGAGGCTATTCAATTAATCCCAATTTCTTTATGTTAATATAAACACAAACAATGTTTCACCTGGAAAAAGCTGCTTGTCCAACGACCGCATAGTCAATCTTGGAGAAGATATCCTTGATCGTGGTACGCTCAAAGTCTGTCCACACAACCATTTTGTCTTGTTGAGTTTTTCACTTGTCCTGTTGGTCAGCAGGTCACCAAGTGCAGCTTTTAAAGAGTTCTTTTCACTCCACCCAAAGATATGAAATTGGGTGGAGTTGGAGAGTGGGAGTTGACTAAACTGGTTCAGTTTAACGATTCTGAGTTCAGCTTTAATAAACCATCAAAATGAATCAAAAATTAGTTTGAAACTTTTATTATGGACAAATTCAATCCATATTTGGATAATTGATCAAGAATCTAATTAACAATTATCTTTGTTTCTCCTTTTAATTGGTTTTGATGGTTGAAAATTTTCACTGTTAGAATTACCAAAATTACTGTGACTGGTGAGATAAGCTTTAGTCATACAGAATACATAAATTTGCTGTAGATGTGTAAGTCTTTAATGTATGAACAATATATTTATATATTTAGATAATAATTCTCCAACACATGGTACCTAATATAGATATAAATGCTTAGGAGCAGTGAGCAGCCAACTCCAGATTGTAAGTCAGTGCAATGGAAACTTTTGGAGAAACTCTGGTATTTAAAGTGTCTGTAAAATTCTAATTTCCTGTTCAAAATTAAAATTGTGTATCAGTCAATCATTTTTCTTGGTATGAAGTGCCCAAATTCAACAGCAAACAGTTTCCAGATCTAAATATCTTTACTGAAGTGCGTAGGCACCGGGCTTTTGGTGCCAGAGCATGTGAAAGAAGTGACATAAAGAAATATATAATCTCAGTTAGAAAAGTAAATCAGTTTTTCTCCTTCAATATTAATTTTACATGTTAAGTATAACAAACATTTTTGTATTTTTAAATAATTAACACAAATACGTAAATACAGAAGCTGTCAGTGTAATGTGTGAGCTTAAATTTTGAAATCAGAGATTTTGTCAGTATTTTAAAGACACCAAAAATACTAAAGCTTAATGGGAGGTCTTCATGGTGTTTAGATCTAGTAAGACAAGAACAATAAGATACACTCATAAAGGAAACGAAGTTCACTGCAGAATGTATTGTTGTTTATTTAACTACACATAAGACCAACACTTTTTTTTGTTATAGTTATGTTCATAGGCCTTATGAACTCACAACACACTTATTAGTCTGAGCCTCATTAACTTTCATAATTGTATGTTTTCCTTTTCACACTTCACTGAAATACAGGATCACCTCTATCTAAAGGGGAAATCTCAACTGTAAGCCACGTGTGAGCTCTTCTGTGCTCCCAAAAAACGTTAGATAAACACACAGATTTCCAGGAAACATTTATTGCTCTCAGGGTGGATCCACCTGTTGGAAGTTTAGATAACACAGAAACAAACGTCATCCTCAAACCTTAGTTAACGTAATTGTAAGTGCCTGTACAAATGTTAGTTAACTGCAGTATTCAAATTTTAAATCAGAATCCCTTAGCCGTACAATCCACTGTAAATGTTTATATTTAAATTACGTCTTTGAGTTTAAATGACAAAAGTTTTTAGTGCAGTGTTCAAATTTATTAGATCACCAGCCAATATGAGGTTTGTGCCACAACTGACCTAATTTCTTAAAGCATTTTTTATGTTTCTATAATGGTCAAACCACCAATATGTACAAACACTTAAATTAAAATGTTAATGCAAAAATATAATTATTTTCATTATCCATAAATTTTCAAATGTACAGCTTTACAAAAAAAAGTAAAGCACAATATTATTTCTTGATTGAGATATCAAATTACAGTTACTTACTCGCCTGTTATCCTTTATTTAATCAGGTAAAAGTCTCACTGAAAAAAACAAAAGGAGAACCCTTTTAAGAGAAACCTGGCCACAAGGACAGTAGAAGTTATAATATAATAAATAATAGATAACAAGTAAAGAAACAAATGGGTCATTCCATCTCAAATCAGCCAACTTTTAGAACATTTCCTGCTCAACCGTCTCCAATTTGGCCAAAAACTGTCCTTTGACCTACTTTCAAATCTGCACGTTGAAATCTACATGTTTGAACATGAATATCTCCAATTAATGTTCAAACATTTACACATAAAAGCCTGAAAATGAAATAAAATAGAATCAGGATCTGCCAGATTTTTGAGACAGAAACCAAAAAAAGTCTGAGTTAGTTGAAATATAAACACAACAAAAAAAGAAATGTCCAGCACTCCTGCAAAGTCTGATATTTGAGTACATATTAATTGAAAACTTCAAATTACTTAAAAATAACTAGTGATGATTTCTGAAAGATTTGAAGTTAATGTAATACATGTTGTACTCTAACCATAACTTAGTAAAAAAATTGTCAAATATGTTCTAAAATGTCATTGTTGATAGATTTCATTGAGGGTCGTTCCAGCACTAATCTTCACATTTACAGAACCTTTACTGTTAAACCACCTCAAATTTGAATAGAAAAATATTATATGCTTCAAGGTTTGGACATATCATGATTGCTGTACAATCTTAGCTTTATATATAAAATACTTTAAGTTATATATGTTTGTTGTTTCCTTGTATATTTTAACCCAAATTATTGATGGCACTAAGTTTCAGCATGATATGTAACTAGAAAATTTCTTCAAAATATAAAATATTACATGCACATATTTAACAAAATTGTTTTCTCAGTTATAAATTGAGCATTATCTGGAAATTCCAGAATTTTGAGCTTGTGATATTTATTTAGTCCAGCATGAAAGTTATATGAAAATGGGATGTTCTTCATTTTTGTGAATAAGAATCTAGTGTTCTGTGTTTATTTTAGGGTTATTGTTTAGTTTTTTATTAGTGTGTGCTCGAACACAGAACTTTACAGGACATTTTTTTCATATTTTATTAGCCAATGCTCTGACAAATATCTGTCCCAAATGATCAATTCTGATTCATTTTGATAAGAAAGGACAGTGAAAACAGGCTTAAGCAAGAAAAATGACATGAAAGTGTCCTTTGGGGGAAAAAAAAAAACTATATAAAAACTTACTTGATATATGAATCTAAAATTACCAGCAATCAGTATATACTGTATATTGAAACTTTGGACCAAAAAGTTTTTATATAAACAGGGGAAAGCGGAACTGGAAACTGGATGGTGAAGTTTTTAATATATAAAGCTAAAATTTCACAGCAATTGTAATATATGTCCAAACTCTGAACTATAACATTTTAATGGAAACTGGCGAAGGTTGAACAGAAAATGTTATAAAAATGTGATGATTTGAGTTTGGACTGACCCAAGTCTTAAAAACTAAAAATATGCACACATGTAACAAAATTACTTTGAGGTATAATTACAGTATCATCTGAAAACTCTATTATATTTATCTATCTATATTTTATTGTATTTGGACAGGACAACCTACTGATATTGTTATTCTTGTGGTACAAGTTATATTGAAAATGGCATTTTCCTAATCTTTGAAGTTTTTAATTAACGTGTGCTCAAATATGGGACTTGCATGAGTACTGGAGTTTTTTGTTGTTGTTGTTGTTGTTTTTCTTTCGTTTTGGAACTAGCTCACACATTTTGTGATGTATCTGTCTCAATTTCAGGATCTGTATTAATTGTGACTTTAAGAAAGACCAGTGAACATTTCAGGATTCTATCTTTGATAGTCTTTGAAAGATTCATGTTCAAACATTGCTGCAGATTTCAATGTATGAAAAATTGTTAAGCAGAAGCCTTGATTTGAGACGGTTTGACCCCAAAACAACTGATATTGCATTCAGACGTGAGCACTAACATGCAAATCATATCCAACAAGAGATCATTACAAAAGTGAAATTAAAAGCAGTCATACTGACCAAAAAGGTATTTTCTCGCTCCATTAAACTGATTGTTTTTTTTTTAATTATATTTTTTAACCTGTTTGGGAAATAGGTTAAAAAATAAATAATTAAATAAATGTATGCCTCACCTTAAAAACTGAATTGTCTTTCAAAATGTATCATTTCTCAAGATAAACAGTTATTAAATCAGTTGAAATCAAAAACACAATTTAATTTGTTAATGTAGGCTATAGACTAACAGATATTAAAATTTGAGGTATTTATAAAAGTATGTTACTTTGTGGTTCTATTCTTCAGAAATACATTTCTCTTTTCAAGTCTTTGGTTTGATTTATTTATTTATTTTTTCATTGTGTGCACTTTAATTAAGTGAACACCATTCAAACATCTTTAATGAGTTACTCTTTTTCTTTAGTAGTTTAGCTAGCATGACAATTGGTTTACCGTTTATCTCACAAAAGGCGTTACATGTCACTGGGGGCCTGTCCAGGTTGCTATCTCTGAGGTGTGTCGGGTGTGTCCGTTTACTGTTCTACATATAAAAGCCTAAAGCGTTTCTGTTGGTCAAGACAACTTCAAACAGAAATCCAACAGACAAGATGACCAGTCTTTCTGCTAAGGACAAGGACACAGTCAAAGCCTTTTGGGCTAATGTGGCTGGAAAGGAGGAACAAATCGGCTGTGATGCTGTCTCCAGGTAAATATGGATTATGACTTATAATCTACGAACCCAAATTGACTACTTTAACCTGCTCCTTTTTTTAAAATATATGTACTGTTAACTCACCTTACATTTTTACCCAGGATGCTGACAGTGTACCCTCAGACCAAGACTTACTTCTCCCACTGGAAGGACCTGCGCCCCGGCTCTGCCCCGGTGAGGAAGCACGGAGCAACCGTGATGACTGCAGTTACTGATGCTGTCAGCAAAATTGATGATCTCACCGGTGGTCTTCTCAGCCTCAGTGAGCTGCACGCCTTCACTCTGAGAGTGGACCCTGCTAACTTCAAGGTACTGACATACAATAAATTCTGAAAGTGGTCCTGATTTCGTTGTGTTTTCTTTTCATGAAGGTTTAGTTGCAGTTTCTTTGTTTCTAAGCTTAATGTACATTTAATGTTTAACTTCTTGTAGCAGTACTGAATACTGAATCACAGTATTCAAATAAACAGAGATAAATAACCCTGGCATGCATTTTCTAACAGCATGGCATTTTTTTTAAAAATGTGATCTTCATCTTTTCACAGGTTCTTGCTCACAACCTCCTCGTGGTCCTGGCCACTGTGTTTCCCAACGATTTCACTCCTGAGGTCCACGTGGCGATGGACAAGTTCCTGGCTGCTGTGGCTTGTGCATTGTCTGAGAAATACCGTTAAAGTGTACACAGGAGCAGATGACTGACAGCAGCATGAGATTGAATTCTTACTGTCAAACTGAATTTGAATAAAAAAGGAAACAAATCCAATCAAACTGTTGTGGTTATTTTTGTGATCCAGTAAATGTATTTTTGTTTAGACAATAGATTAAAAGCATTACAAGTTTAGGTCAATGGCAGGTGAAGACAAGTCATCCTGAATGAATTCATTTGGGTCATGTAAACAACCACTTAAATTGTTGAGTATTTATAATTTTTTTCTGTCTGTTTTAATTTTATTTTACAGTCAAACTCTGCAGTGAACTATTTCTCCTAAACATGACTAGTCTATAGTTATTAGTAGGAAATTATTAGTTATTAATTATACATCATCACATTTCCAAAGTCAGAAAAAAAATTGTATTTGTTGAAAATTTTTTTTTACAAACAATTCTTTTTTAAAAAAAAATCTCTAGTAAGTGGAGAGGAACAGCAATGGTCCTCTGTCCTAAGACTTGGTATCTAAAGGGATAGGGTTTCTTAAGCAATGTGTGATGGCTGTATGCAACCACACAATTGAAATACTTGGGTAATATTCATTTGATCTTTTTGTCTTACGTTTACATTGTGCTCTAAAGCTTCTGTGATCATAAGTTAACCAATTTAATACTTTGAATTTACCTGTAATGCATGACAGCACTAAGCTATAGTCCAAACGGTGGCACAGACTCTGTTTTGCATTGTTTGTTGTTTTATATGAGTATGTGTTACATTAATTATATTTCTGTTCTTTTTGAGCTACCTGGCCTCTGCTCCAGTCCTTCCTGGTTTGGGTGGAAGAGGAGGCTGAGGGTGGAGCTGGTTTAAATGCAGAAGCCAATAAAATGGACTGGACCATCTATTGTGATCATGTAGGGGGGGGATGGGGTTCTTCTTGAATGATGGTTAGCTGTTAACTCTTTAGTTTAGTCACCTTTGGTGTATATAACAGTTTATTCATTTGCTATATAACTAGAGCTGTTTCCCATTTGGGCAGGTCAGTTTGTTGAGTTATGTTTTGTGAAGTGAATTTTGTTAAGTTAACCTCTTTTACGGGCCCGCCTGGTTCTTAAAAAAAGTTTTGTTTTGTCATTTTGAATTTTTGTAATCATTTGGTCCTTTCGGGGGTACAATAAGGAAGAGACTGGAAGAGACTGAACAGGGTGATCCGAAGGGCCAGCTCTGTTCTAGGATGCCCTCTGGACCCAGTGGAGGTGGTGAGTGACAGGAGAACGGCGGCTAAGCTGTCATCCCTGATGGACAACATCTCCCACCCCATGCAGCAGACTGTGACAGCACTGAGCAGCTCCTTCAGTGGGAGACTGCGGCACCCACGGTGTGGGACGGAGAGATTTCGCAGGTCTTTCCTCCCCACTGCTGTCAGACTCCATAATAAAGACTTTAACTGATCAAGCACACACATCCATACATATGCAATAATACTAAGTGCAATAATCCTTTCTGTCATCGTTGTATTTTTACTCAGTTGTATATAGCATTTGTATTTGTATTCTATTTGTATCTTATTGTATATTTATTTTATTTTATTCTACTGTATATAGTATTTTATTCTATTCTGTACAGTTGTGTACTGTATTTATTCTTATTGTATCCTAATTTTTGCCTCATAACTTTTGCACTGTCCACTTCCTGCTGTGACAAAACAAATTTCCCACATGTGGGACTAATAAAGGTTATCTTATCTTATCTTATCTTAAAATCCATTTTTTGAAGATTACATTTGTGCCTGTGTGTTCTTGGCTGCTTGGTCCATGATACAATGACTCAAGCATGTAATGTCACTTCCATATTAGTTGGGACAAACATAAAATTTAAAAAATGTGCAGTTTTGCCTTTGTACACCAATACACTGGATTGAAAACAAGAAATGAATGCACTGACCAACTCAGAAACACCAGAACAAAAAAGGACAAGTGCATAATCACTGAATTATTTCAATGAAAACCAATTGTCACGACATGTAACTAAGCCAAAAACCTACTTGAAGAGGCTGGTGTATCACTGTCAGCGTCTTCAATTAAGAGATGTGTGCATGAATGGAAATAGAGTTTACAACAAACCACAGAATACAGTGACAGCCAGGGAGATGAGACTAGACTTTGCCTGAAAACATGTGGAAGATCCTGCACAGATCTGTAAGAAAAAATATAACATTTGGGAATTAATTTGGCAGAAGGAGAGAAGCAGCTCATGATGTGAAGCATGTGGAGAATGGGCAGTGTTATGGCATGGGAATGAATGGCTGCCAATGGAAGTGGGTAGTCAGTGTTTATTGATGATGTGATTGCTGATAGAAGTATCTGGGTGAATTATGAAATTTACAGGACCATACTCTTGGCTCAGAATTTGTGAAATGCTGTAAAAAAATTATCAGACTGTTTTTTGCAGTGCAAAAAAACATACTACAAAAATATTCCAAGAGTTTCTCAAGGCAAAGAAATTGGATGTTCACAGTCTCCAAGTCAATCACCTGATCTCTGTCCAACAGAGCATGCCTTTCCACAAATAAGCAGCAACTGGAGGCTACAGTCAAGGTCTATCAAAACAACTCAATAGAGGAAACAACATTTGGTGATTTACATGGGTTCTGGACTTCAGGTAGCAATTGGCTGCAGAGTCTTTTCATCCAAGCATTTAAAAAAGGCTTTAATCCTTAAGCAGTCCATACAAGGTTTTTGCAAAGGACATTGTATTAAAACTTAAAGATAATAAAGCAAGTGAAAAAAAGAAAGGCACTGGGAACTTTCTGAAGTTGCTTAATATTTTATTTTTTTAAAAACATATTGAGGCACAATTAATAACAGAGCATGTGACAGGCATCTGCAGGTCTTTAGTAGTACTGTCTTCTGAGGGAGGACACCACCACTGCCAGGAACTTCTGGAAAGCTGCATGAACCTCAGCAGTGAAGTTTTTACCCAACTGGGAAGCAACCACAATGGTCAAGCAGTCGCCCAGGAGCTGCAACACAGCACAACATGCTTTAGCAATCTTCATTGACACACACAAACATGCAATACTGGGAATCAGTGCCGTCAGTTCAGCATTGCCTACCATGAAATTGTCAGGGTCCACCTGCAGTTTCTCAGAGTGCAGCGTACTCAGCTCTGCATATGTGGCCTTGATGTTGTCCATGTCCTTCACTGCTTTTTCCAGAGCTTCCATGATGACTTTTCCATGAGCAGCAACCCTTGGATTTGATGCAATAGCAGCAGCATTGTAGAGGTTTCCAAATTGACCAAAATACCTCTGAGTCCAGGGATAGACAGTCAAACACCTGAGGGAATGTGTAAATAATTGATTTGCTCTTAGTTTTAAAAGAAAAATCTACATTGTGTAATGCACAAAATATGCCAGCTTTTTTTCATTGCACATAAAGATTCTACTTGAATAGCCCAAACTTCTAAAAATAAATTTACGTCAATATAAAAAAAAAAACTATGTTTCACCTGGAAAAAGCTGCTTGCCCAACGACTGCATAATTGATCTTGGAGAAGATGTCCTGGATTGTGGTGCGCTCAAAGTCTGTCCACACAACCATTTTTGTTTGTTGATTGTTGCTCTTGTGCTGTTAGTCAGCAGAGCCACTAAGTCACCTTTTAAAGAGTTCTTTTCACTCCACCCAAAGATATGAAATTGGGTGGAGTTGGAGAGTGGGAGTTGGCTAAACTGGTCAGTTTAACGATTCTGAGTTCAGCTTTGATTAACTGTCAAAATTAACCAAAAATCTGTTGGAAACTTTCATTATGGAATATCTTACAGACTACTTATTCTTCTATCTTGGGATAGGCTCCAGCCCTGAGTGACCCCTAACAATTAAGAAAATTGGAAGTAAGATAATCAAAAATATTTTGCAGACCTGGATAGAAATAAAGAACTGGATGAAGTACAATGAGTATATCCTTTGGAAAATAATGAATTCTAAATTTCAGTGACAAAAAACTTCTTGTGCTTGTAAATAATACATGTTTTTTGTTTGTTTGTTTTTTAAATGGACCAGATTCCACATATTTTAATTTTAACATATGACCAAACCATAGCATTAAGGTCCTGCATTTGCCATTTGTACATGCGTTTAATAAATAAACTTGACAAAGAGTTTTCTTAAAGAGGAAAATGACAAGAAAAGAATGGTACACCCACACATCCTACAGGCCTTTATTGACTGGCTGTAAGTAGAAAAAAAATTAAATAACTTTGTCTCAGCTTTTGTTTTTTTCTGGTTATCCACAAAACCTTTTCTGTCATTCTCTTAAATATTTTCAGTATTTCTGCCATATTTTAAAACCTGTTTTTCATCCTCAAATTTCTACACCTGATGTTTAACTTTACCTCAATATATCAGCAACTGTCCACTCTGAGCTACATTTGAGCTCCTGTGGAGAACAAACAGCTGCTGTAAAAATTTAAACTGCCCTGTGAGAGGATTCACCTGCTGAAGATTAGATAAGCCTTAAACTGACACGGTTTTTTGAAGTGAATGTCATTGACATAGATTTTGGTTGTAGTGTTGGTAAATGATAGCCTAAACAACAGTATTTAAATTTTAACCTACACATTAGAACATCCCTGGACTCTCTATGTTCAATTATATCCGTGATAGCTGCTTTCCACATTAGGATTTGGTTTTTGATTATCTGTTTGGAAACATAAATTAGCCGTTGACTTATTAGTCTAAATATAGCCATAAACATTTAGATGCATGTGTATGTACAGTAAATGTATCTATAAAAAGCCCTGCTATAAATCCAACTATCTGTCCAGACCCAAATTTGAAGCCAACAGCCTTTTTAAAGTTATAGCCATGTACCCATTTTGCTTTTTCTCAAATTATTATTATTAAATACATAAATAGATAAAGAAATACAAACTAACAGGTGACTTGTCATGAATTAAATGGTAATATTAGACTGATATAAATTCAAAAATTGGAAGGTTAGTGATTTGATTTAACTGGCTCTCACTGAAAATTTAAGTTTTAAAATATGCACATTCATTTAATGAAGATGTTTCTTAAGTGAAGCCAAAAAGAAGAAATGAATTCTGATTATCTTGTTAAGTTGTCTTGCCTTATAGAGTCTTTTGTTTGGTGTTTGTCTCACGGGAACTGTTACATATCATTTTGAACATGCCTAAATTCCAGTACCTTATCTGTGAGGTGGGTCGGGTGTGTGCATTTCCTGTTTCATATATAAGACCTCCACAGAATGAGCTGAACACAACTCCAACAGCAACAACAGGCAAGATGACCAGTCTTTCTGCAAAGGACAAGAACACAGTCAAAACCTTCTGGGCTAAAGTGGCTGGTAAGGAGGAACAAATCGGCTGTGATGCTGTCTCCAGGTAAATATGGCCCCACACTGCCTACAAAAACCTGCTCCTGCATTTCTGTCTCTTACCCGCTGGCTTGTTCTCTTACATTTTTATCCAGGATGCTGACAGTGTACCCTCAGACCAAGACTTACTTCTCCCACTGGAAGGACCTGCGCCCCGGCTCTGCCCCGGTGAAGAAGCACGGAGCAACCGTGATGGCTGCAGTTACTGATGCTGTCAGCAAAATTGACGATCTGACCGGAGCTCTTCTGAGCCTCAGTGAGCTGCATGCCTTCACTCTGAGAGTGGACCCTGCTAACTTCAAGGTACTGATCATTATTACTGTCATATTTGTGGGGTGACATTATTTGAGGTCATCTACTTAATAAAAAGTTTGTGGTTCAGTGTAATCACTGAAGTGTGAATTTGTGTGAATGTTAGAGAGAAAAAAGCCTAGTCATAGAAAAGAAGTACTTGTATGAATGGGTCAATTAGGCAAGTTGTTCGAAGTGCTTTGAATGCTCCAGTAGACTAGAAAAGCAATATATATACATCGGTCCATTTACTATGACAGTGTTTGCCAAATTAATTTTTCTGTTCTATTGTGAACACTGATTGGACTACAAATTAAACTCACTCTAACTCAGCTTTCATTTGATCTTAGATAGATTACTGGTTGATCTGAAATGATGATCTCTGGTTACCAATAAATAAATGAAAAGTCCATTCATTTCAATGTGATCATCATCTTTCCACAGGTTCTGTCTCACAACCTCCTCGTGGTCCTGTCCACCATGTTCCCCGACGACTTCAGCCCTGAGGTCCATGTGGCTGTGGACAAGTTCCTGGCTGCTGTTGCTCTCGCCCTGTCTGAGAAATACAGATAAACTGCATTATGTGCTCGAGTACTCACTGACAGTCTCACATGTAATAAAAGATCCAATGCAATTAAACTCTCATGGTCGTTTGTGGTGATCATTTTTAAACAGTTGGATTATTATTGTAGCTTTTACCAGGAATGGGTTTTTTTTTTTCTCTTTATGGGCTAATTAAAGAAGAGTAGCGATTGATTTACTGAAAGCTTATATACACAACTTAAAAATAGAGCATGTGACGGTCCTCTGGAGCTAGTAGTACTGCCTTCTCAGGGAGGCTTGAGCTACAAAGACTCTCCTGGAAGCTGCACGGACCTCAGCAGTGAAGTATTGACCTAAACGAGCAGCAACTACAATGACCAGGCAGTCCCCCAGAACCAGCTATTTCTGTTTTATCGTCATTATTCCGAAATGCTTTCTTTTTCTTCTTCCTATTATTATTATTATTATTATTATTATTATTATTATTATTATTATTATTATTATTATTATTATTATTATTATTTTGGGTGGATGAATTGATGGAGTTTCGATGGGGGGGGAAATGAATTATTTTAACCACGCAGAAATACCATGACAGCTTACATAGGGTGTGACCTCGGTTGGCGTCTCACCCCGCCCCTGCTGAAGATTTTGAGTTCATGCGAAACACCTGTTACACCCGGTTGGCGTTTTGTGCTTCAACTTATTTTTAAAAATATATGAATGCATAAAAATAATAAAAAATAAAACTGACACAGATCTGTCACTATGGCTGCCACAGTGTCAGTGTCTACTGTCTGTCTACTGTTTACTATCATAGCCAAGTGGCTAACAAAGGTAAACAGTTTTCCCAAGTTTTCCCAATCCCCACTAATGAATGTTATCTTGTTTCAGGATACACAATACCTGCCATTATCCAAAGACACATCTGACCGGATGTGTCTCCTTTTCTCTTTTTTTCTAAACTGAGGACCTGATGGCTTTGACCTTTTCTTTTCCACCTTCCATCAGTAATTTTTGCGCTCTAATATAAACACCCAACCCCACAACATAAACTAATAGAGCTACACCTTGTATTTGTTTTTTTTTTTCTTGGATTTCACACAAACCAGGAATAAAAATTAATACATAATGGGCTTGGATTGACAATATTATGGAAGCAGCCCGCCCCCTCCCCGTGAGACTTCAGCACAGCAGCATCAGCAGCAGGCGCACCGAGGCCCCTCACGCTCACTTTTTGGGTATATGTGTGTAATAGATTTTGGAAAACAAATTATAAGTCTGTATCATTTCAGGGATTTGGACTCATTCTGATGGATTAATTGTGTTAGAAATTTTAATCACGTTAATCCTGAAGACGGCATTAACGTTGACAGCCGTAGTTTGTTGGTTTATTTTCGGTGCCCATGCAATCCCCAAAATGCGCTGGCATGACGTCGGGGCAGCATGGGTACGAGCAACTTTTTTTGCCGATGCCATGATGCCACCCCCACCACAATGCTGCCCTGGGCAACCTCCCATGTCGCCCATATCAAAACCCGCCACTGGCAGCACCCCACCCGCACTGTGCATTGTCCAAAGACGAATCCCAATGATTTATGGGAGACAATACATATAATCATAAAGCATGATGGAGCTAACAGATTTGATGGGGGCAGGAATTCGCACGACTACTTGATTTTTGGGAATCAAAGTGTGTGCTATACACAGACTGATGAAATAATTAAGGCTACAGAACTACAGACTAATTTATAATACACACTAGTTCACATGTATTCACTTCAACGTTGAGTGAGCGAGTCTTTAGTGCTCATGTGTATTTTATGACCTCTACCTGTTTCCCCTCAGAAAATTTGAAACAATGCTGACTTTCAGCCATCCTCATTATGGTTATAATTGAATTTTCATCTGTGTTTCTATCTGTGTTGAAATCTGAAATTCCTCTTCATTCAAGATGTGCTCTGGCACCAATCATAGGCGACAGCTACTGACAACAAGAAATAAAACAGTTTAGAGGGGCTGCTACGGGCTGAACCGTTTTTCAAAGACGGGGTTGGGGTGACACTGTGAAATATATTCAATTTCTGTGTTAATTCTGTGTAGCTAGAATCAAAGTGTTAATGCTAGCTTTTTTTAAATAACAATATTGTCATGTGCAAAACTATGACAGTGACTAGGGGCGACGAGATTATTTTAGGGTGCACCGCAGTATCTGCCTTGCCATGACAGCTCCTTTATCTAAGGAAAGCTGCCATTCAGAAGGAAAAGACGAGGACCACAGAGGAGGTTCGTGGATGAAGGCACATGATGGGACATCTAAAGAGGGCAGCCGAAAGAAGAAAAAGGCCAACTAGAGCAATCAGATGGTCTACGCACACCCACCCGCGTTGATAACAGCTCCTCATTGATAGTGTGACTCTGATGTCGTATATAATTATTACTTTAGTTTGGCCTATTATGAAAGTAGAAGTATGTGTTTTACTTGCTGTTTTTAATCATCCCTAAATCACTCGTGCGCACAGTAAGTCAAAATTTCTAATTTAATGTGTTGGATGAGTGACGACACACCAGGGAACCCTTCACAAGTTAAAGAGTAAAGGGGCGTGTCCGAGACGTCTGCTGTCGGAGCAAGTTAAACAGTTTTGTTTTATTGAGAATTAAAAATAATAATAATACAAGTATATACCGTGACTAAAGTAAAAGAAATGTAAACATGTATTAATTTCATATAGTAACTGTGTTCTGGTAGTGTGGCGGGTGACACGCTCCATGCAGCGATTGGTGAGCCTGAATCTGGAGTTTAGCGGTATCTGTCGGACAGCGCCAGAGACAAGTTCTGTAGAAACATGTCAAATGAGACGTGGACTTCAGGGGTGAAGTCTTCCTGGGAGAACATGGCCATGCACAAGATGATGTTGTGAGCAAGAATCTGTATAAATAAATAAATATGGAGAAAACGTATTAATTCATAAATAACGAGAAATACATAAAATTTCAGACTCAGAGTCAGAATACTTTAATAATCCTATAAGGGAATTGTGTGAGTTATAGTTGCTCCAAGACAATAACAGTAACATACTGAACTAATTAAATAAAACAATATATTACAAGTTTATAAAATATAAGAAATGGTTCTGATCGACATTTTACTCTAAACTGTAAAACTTTGTCATTTGTTATTTTACTGTAGAGCGTGTGCAAAAGGCTGTAACTATTGCAGTGTGTACTGTGCAACAACATTATAGCTTTATATTACTTTTAGTATTTTGCTCATTGAGAAATTGTATGGACTTATGAGCAATGCATGGATCATTCCCTCCTTAAGCTTACCGTGAAGTTGGCAGGGTCCACTCTGAGCTTGAAAGCATAGCTTGCTTAGATTGGTCAGATCTCCAACAAGGTCGTCAATATTCCCGACGCCATGATGTTGGCGCCGTGCATCTTCACCTGTGCAGAATCTGGCCCAGTGAGAACAGTAGGTCTTGGTTTGCGGATATGCAGTCAGCATCCTGTAAAACGTAAACGTGATAAGTTATGATAGAGCGAAGTTATTACATAGAATGTGGTGCATGATGTGTGCACATCGTCAAAACAGAAAATAATGAAAACCAACCGGCCCAGATCCTCTGCTCCAATCTCAGGGGCTTTCGGAGTCGCTTCATCCCAGAAGGACCACGGTTTTGTCCTTTCCAGAGACTCGTGTCTGCCTTTAAAGGTTTACGCAGCAGAAAGAAAAGTTAACTAAATTCTGAAAGTTGTTTGTTACTATCTTTCTTTATATGGAACTAAATTGCACCACACCCAGTATCAAATCTAATCCACACCTTCCTGTTCGAGTTTAACAAGCCATTTCTAGAGATAAAAGTAACCACACCCTGTTCTCAAGTATTTTTAGTCGCCGTGTTATCTTACCTTATAAGTCTGTATTTATAAGTACAAAATAACACCTAACGTCAAATTAGTTAGTAAAATAGCGATGAATGCATTAAAGAACTGATGTCAGTATGAAGGGGCATGCAGTCTAAAGGAATAGTGGCAAAATTGCTAATGAACGGGAAAAAAAATCTATATAAATTAAAAAGTTAGAGTTAAAAACACACTTGAACATATTAGATGCTCATATGTGCAGGTGCTGAGAGAAAAATAACAAATGAAGAAAATGTTTTGGGGTTTTTGAGCTTTTCTCCTTGTGCAAAAATCAGATAAATTCTGCCTTACATTTTATCATATTCATTTACAATTAGGTTTATTGGTAAATGAATATTCGACACTGAATGGCGTCGAACAATTGATGTCGAGTTGATGGTGTTTTTAATGTTTCATGTTCTTGTCTTTTTTCTGTTCTTTTCCCAGTCTTCGGGCAAAAATTATATCTGACTTATTAACAGCCTTTGTCCTTGGTTCTGATCCAATCAGATGCTTCCGGACTAAGAGGGGTGGTAGCGGCCAATTAATAAAGTCCTCCAAAATGGACCTATGTTTTGTGAACGAAGACTAATTTCAGCGAAGCTGGAGAAAATCTTATTTCTAACAATATGGTCGAGTGGACAGGTGCTGAGCTCAGCGCGATCACATACCTGTGGGGAAAGATTTATGGGGCTGAAATGGGCACCCAGGCCCTGAGCAGGTGAGTTACGTTAGATGATAATTTAACGACGCCTATTGGTATCTCCAAATTAATTATTCTTGTTTTTACACGCCTTGTTATTTACCGCATGATAACAGAATTTGTTTTTGGTTTGTTTTCGTTTTGTTTTTGAGTCATTCCTACTATTCGGTGCCATTTCAGTGTGATCACTCTTCATCAAAAAATACAAAATTTTGAATTATTTTAACATTTCATCTAAAAGAGGGATTTTCAACCTATAAGAAAAATGTATTGGTCCAGCTAAGGATATTATATTATAATATTTTTTAAAATCAAAGTCTTTACCCATGACGTGCCAAATGTCCACCCTGTTACAGGACATTCAATTTTCTATTAATAACTGTTTTGAATACACAGTTATAGTAATATTTACATTTTCTAAAAGCTACAATGTCCCTTTTTAAAATCTGCAAGGAAATTTCATGTTACAGTGCATAGCAATAACAGGGGTGACGGTAACAGGGGGGAGATTTTATGCTAAACTTAGCCATTACTACTAGTATGATGAACAACAAGCTAGTACATGGTGACCACTAAGAACCATTTTTAACATGTTTATTAGCCATATTATAAAAATTACAAAAAAAAAATTGTTTCCATTATTAATAAGCGTAACAGGTTGGACGTGTTATGCTTTGCCACATTACAAAATCTTGCTAAAACATTGAAAAAAGGGTTGATTAAAGAGTGGTACTTACTCGTCTTCTTCTTGAAAGTTTTCCCTCCAAAATATGTTACATCGGGAGTGTCATGTGACTAAAAGAATAATCAGGTGATGTGTTCTATGGAATTCTTATCAGAGTAACAGGGGTGACAGTTGATTCAGGGACACAACATTTTTTAAAGATTTTAAGTATTAAACATGGCTTAATAATAAAAAAGAACATTTGATGAGGAACATTAGAAATAAGCCAATCCAGAAATGATGAAAAATCTAGATTTTTTATTTTTTTTTAAGTTATATTTGTAACTGAAGTCGAGCAAGCATGACTGGGGACATAGTACTTTAGTGACTTGTGCTAAAATAAAAGTAATTTACTTTTAATGTATTTATCCTGTGTATATATCAATGTGTTCTATGGTAGAGGGGGGTTAAACATACAAGAAAATGGTTTAGAAATAAGCATTAGACAAGTTTTACACTAAATATACCATATTATGTCATTAGGACTCAAATGGCACCGAATAGTAAGAATGACCCATATGGCAAGAAGACAACGTTATAAGAATACTAAGAAAAAGTAAAACTCTTTATTTCAGGCTTCTCGATTGCTGTATCAGTGGACTCAGAGAACTTCCAACTCTTTGGCAACCTTGTCCACCAATGCTGCCATTCATGTGAATAGCCAGCACAACGGACTGTGATGGTTGGTCTGGAAAATGCTGTGAAGAACAACATTAAGCAGACCTACGCCAAAACTGAGCGTTATGCACTCTGAGTAGCTCCGTGTTGATCCTGACAACTTCAGGGTATGTGATCTGAGACTTTTTCCACCAGTGATAATGATGAAGCATGCCATTATTATTGTTTCCCTTTCATTTTAGGTGCTTTCTGAAATTGTCGCTTTTTGTGTGGCCTCCAAGTTTGGACCTCAAGTCTTCGCCCCTGATGTCCAGATGACCTGGCAGACATTCCTCGCTGTGGTCGTCTCTGCCCTGGGCAAACAGTACCACTGAACTTGTGGAATTATAGTTCATATTCATAACCAAATAATTTACAGCAGTGCTTCCGTTTAGCGCTTCGAAGCTGATGAATGTGACAAATAAATTTCCAGTTAAATAAAATTCTCTTTGTGTGATCATTTTTAATTGCATTTTGTTTTTCTACTCAAGCCTTCCAAGAGCAGATTTTTACAAGGGATTGTGCACTTATACTGAAAATGTTCATGATAGTAATAATAATAATAGTAATAATAATAATAGTAATATTAACAAGGGTGGTGTCATTTCTTTTTAACTCAGCCAGTAAGTTGTAGTTAGAATTATCCATGTTGTATTATCTGAAATTAAAACCTCCTAAGCTCATTCTTATAAAAGCGTCTATATTTTACTTCTTATCTTTGCAAAGGGTGACGCTGCCGGTTTCTATTTTGTCCGTTTCAAAATGTGCACTTTGATATGGGTGAGGTCGCGTGACATTATTGATAACAGTGCATCAAAAATACTGTTGGTTATAGTTGTGGACCATGATAAAGGATTTGAAATATTGTGTACATTACATTACGTTGCACTGTCCACTTTCTGCTTCAACATAACAAATTTCCCTCGTGTGGGGCTAATAAAGGTTATCTTATCCTATTAAATTCTTTTAATCCAAGAATCCAAAAAGGGTTTCTTCCACGTGTTCGGTAAGATAAGCAGAAAATGGATATGTAGGCCTATTAGAAGAAAAAAAAGAAGCTTATTTTGTATAATTATATACAATGTTCATTACTTGTGTGTTCAGAAAAAGTATATAAAATGCCAAATCAAACTGTTTAATATCACGCCATGCTTAATGAATGAAATCCTTGTATACACATTACTATTTACTACCCATTTAAGCAAAGCTTTGGGGTAATTCCTCCACTATAAAGTAAAACGAATATTCAGTGCAAAATGTTAGAAGGTTAAATTTGCATTTAACACAACTGTATGTTCATTTCTGATTGAATTTTCTCTTTTCCTATGCTTTCTGTCACTACAATATTATTAATTTAATTTCTTAACACACCCCTGCAATTATATCAAAAGTGAATAGTGTAGGGATTCAGACAAAGAAGAAAGGACCAGCTTCCAGTGTTTATTATATTTATTAACGGAGCCCTGCCATTTTAAGAGGTTTTATTGACATTACTGTAGATGACAGGCTTCAGGGGCTCCGGAGTTGCCGGATTTTAGCGGTATTTCTCGGACAGAGCGAGAGCCAAGTTCTGGAGGAACTTGTCAACGGAGAGGTGGACTTCGGGAGTGAAGTCTGCGGGGAAGAACATGCCCATGCACAAGATGAGGTTGTGAGCAAGGATCTGTGAGGCAAAAAACACATGCATATGTTAGGTCGAAAAGTCTATATTGCCTCTTGACTAATGGTAATCTCTGTCTACAACGTGATCATTGTTGCGTGGATGTTACTGGGTGAGCTCACCCTGAAGTTGGCAGGGTCCACTCTGAGCTTGAAAGCGTGGAGCTCGCTGAGGGCAGACAGACTTCCAGTAAGGTCGTCAATCTTTGACACAGCGTCTCCAATGGCCGCCATGATGGTGGCACCATGCTTTTTCACCTGCGCAGAGCTTGGACTCAGATCGGACCAGTGAGCAAAGTAGGTCTTGGTCTGGGGATAAGCAGTCAGCATCCTGTAAAACATAAATTCAAATGATGGAAATATGAATAAGTACTTACTAATTAATTAAAACTATGAATGAATAAAAAATGAAAAGAAAAGGGCAAAATACAACCTCCCCAGAGCCTCTCCTCCAATCTCAGCTGACTTCGGGGCCACTTTGGCCCAGAAGTTCTTCACCACGGTCTTGTCCTTTCCAGAGAGACTCATGTCGGCGTTTTCTTCAGTTGTCTTCTGAACTGAAAGTGTTGACTATTTGTCACTATCATTTTTATATAACACCAAAATGGACCACACCCAGCATCACATTTAAACCACACCTCTGCGATAAAGAAAAAAATCCAGCACTTTCCGAGGTATTTCTTGAGATAAAAGTTAACGCCCCTCCTTGTTTTTAAGATATGACTTATTTTGTTGGGGAAGAAACTAATATATTTATCCCTTAAAGAAATTATTAAATAGCAAGAGGTTGTTGAAAAAGCAATGTGATATTTTATAAATTAACGTCCGAAGTGTAAAATATGAAACAAGTGGCAAATAATCTCTCGCTGCCAAACGCTCGTTTGGTCTCAAGAGAGAATTAGAGAATTAGATGACAACATAAGCACTCACAGAATGACACCACATAATCAAAAATTAAGATATTTTTTACCAAAATCTTGGTAAGTAATCATATCCGAGGCATGATGTGAGATATAAAAGGATGACTGGTTGTTGCGCTTCATGTGGGACTGCACAGCACCTTTATCCTTTGTATCCTATTTATTAGAGGTTGGAGAATTGTTCTCAAATAAAATAGGCTACATTTCTTTACTAGAGATGT